TCTCAGGTGGATCCCGCGACCACTCTGTGGGCCTCAGACAGGGACACACTGGTCCTGGCCCTGTGGGGAGCTTTGCCAGGGGACCCTCTGCTGCAGGCGTCCAGAAGCATGCTGAGGCAGGACCGCCAGCTCTGCACTGTTGCCCTCCCTGTCCAGTGTGCCCACGTGGGCTGCTGGGCACCCAGAGGTGCACCGAGGCTGGACGTGCTGTCCCCCCTCCATGTAGACACCCAGGGAAAGGCCCTCCGAGCCCCCCAGGGGGCCTGGGGAGCAGAGGGGCTGCTTGCTAACCCATCAAGAGTAGACCAAGAGGACCCAGTGTCTGGGCTACTCCTGGACTCACCGCCTCAGAAGAGGCTTCAGGACACCTTGCCAGAGGGGACAAGCACAGCACAGCACGCAGACAAAGGCCCTGGGCCGGGAGGGTGCAGAACAGGGGGCAGTGACCATCCAGGGCTCCCCGGCTGCTGCTGAGGGGCAGGCCCAGGGGCAGGCCGAGGCTTCCAGAATGGGTGTGATGGCCTTCCATACTCACACCCGCACACACACAGACTCTCACTCCTGTGGGTGTGATGGCCTTCCACACTCACACGCACACACACACAGACTCTCACTCCTGTGGGTGTGATGGCCTTCCACACTCACACCCGCACACACACAGACTCTCACTCCTGTGGGTGTGATGGCCTTTACACACACACACACACACACACACTCACACACAGACTCTCACTCCTGTGGGTGTGATGGCCTTTACACACTCACACACGACTCTCACTCCTGTGGGTGTGATGGCCTTTACACACTTACACACGACTCTCACTCCTGTGGGTATGATGGCCTTTACACACTTACACACGACTCTCACTCCTGTGGGTGTGATGACTCCCCCCCCCCACGGCTCGCACACCTACATGTTTTTTGAGAGTGATCCCAATTCCTGTGGATCCCAATCCCTGTTGAAAGCCGGGGCTGCTGACGTGTGTGCGTCTTTCTTCAGGAAACCCCAGCCCCTCTGCATGTGAATGCCACCAAAGATGCCCTCATCCGTGCGTGACCCAGGGCCAGGTTTGATTTCAGGGCGTAAGTTTGTGCCCGTCACCGGGGAGCAGGGGCCCTCGGTCGTGTGTGCAGGACAACAGAGGGTCCCTGGGAGCCTGACCTTTGCCACTTGTTTACTTTCTGGCTCTGAAGCTCTGGCCTTAGATCACGTGGACGTCCTCCTGAGAGGCCCAGGTTGTGCCT